ATCTAAGGCAGATTTGACATAAAAAACATGTCCCAATTAAATATTCCCTTGAAACAATATCTTGTTCATCCATCCCTAGCTAAACAAAATTTGAAAAATAATTATTATAATTAGCAATTAATTCAAAAGATTTCATTGGAAAAACATTATCATCAGTCTTTCCTTACTATGTTTTATATTTAACCACACTTGAAATTTTGATATAATATGTTATAGATGCTAATTAAAGAGAGTTCACAAAAAAATGAGAAATAGTGTTGCTAATTTTGGGAAATTTCAAAAAAGTTCAATTGAAAAGAAAACAATAAATACATGGTTTTCCTCACTTTTCACTAAATATTTTACATTTAACCACACTTGAAATTTTGATATATTTTATTGTATATACTAATTAGGAAAAGTTCACAAAAAATAGGTAGTTTTGGGGAGGGATCAATGAAATTTCAAAAAATTTCAATTGAAAATAAAATATATATATATATAATTTTTCTTATTTTTCACTAAATATTTTATATTCAACCACATTTGAGATTTCAATAGATTATATTATAGAGTCTAATTAGGAAAAGTTCATAAAAAAACTAAATTAAACAATATTAAAATTAAAAGTTTTTATAATATTTTATCATTCGTGACAATAAAATTTTTCATGGTCACACAGATCTGCAAACCACAATAATTCATTTTTTTTAAGAGACAAAAATAAGATTTTCCAATAATTATAATAATGTAATTATTGATACATATGTGCAATCATCAATAACCTGCAAGTTTGAAGAATCATCCCTCAATAATCTTTTATTTATTCTAAAGAAATATTATAACAATTATTATATATATTTTATAAGTGATGGGAAAACTACTTTTGAATTTCCAAGTTTTTCTACTAACAAGACATCAAATTTTTTATCGCCATATGGATTGGATAGGTTCTGAAAAAAGATTTTGCAATAGTAAAAATTAATTCTTCGCATACTTATATATGAGGTGGACAATTCAGAAAGGCTTGATAACCAGGCAATCCGGAGGAATAATCTTTCTGCCAAATAAACAATGGAAATTTAGATAAACTTTGAAATGTAAAGGCTTGATAATCAAGCAAGCTGTGGGAATAATCTTTTCCACAATTGTATTTCCAAACACTCAATCAATAGCCTATCAGAGTTTTTTTTATTTATATTAGTAAAAAATTTTTTTGTAAAAGTTCAAAGTTATCAATTTTATTTGGTTTTACTATAAACAATGGAAGTTTAGATAAACTTTAAAATGTAAAGGCTTGATAACCAAGCAAGCTGTGTGAATGATCTTTCCATGATGTATTTCCAAACATTCAATTGATAGCCTATCAGAGTTTGTAAGTAAAAAAATTTTTTTATAAAGGTTCAAAGTTATCAATTTTATTGATTTTACTATAAACAATGGAAAAATGTAAAATGCTCAATAACCAAATAAGCCATGGGAATAATCTTTCCGCAATTGTATTTATAAACACCCAATTAATGGTCTATCAAAGAGTTTTTTTTGTAAAGGTTCTATTTTACAAAAATTTAAAAAATCCACATATATTAATAATTTAAATATTAATAGCAAAATCATAGAATTTATTAAATGAGTTAGAAAATTATCAAAATGAACAATTTAAATAAATAAATATCATATTCGCCAAAATTTAATATTATCACCAATAATTATTTAATAAAATGATTATCTTCACTATATGAAAACTCATATTCGTCGTCATCGTCATCAATTGGGAATCTACCTGTATTATATTTTTTTGGTGCTTTTTCAGATTTTTCAACTGTAGCAAAAAAATTTAAAATTAATAATAATAATTAATTTAATAATCAGTTTATTAATAATTAATTAATTTACTTTTATCTTTCAATCCTGATTTAAAGGTGGCAAACACAAAAATTCCAAGCATTAAAGTCGTCTTTCAACAAAAAAAATTATATATATGAGATGATAATAATAATGATGATGATCAATAATAGTATTAATAACAACAATAATTACCGTTGTTAATGTAATTGATGCAAATACTAAAAATAAATAAATTAATAATATTTAGTAAAAATTATTTGATAATATTTAATAAAAATCATTTGATGATATTTTCTTCTTAATGTTAAATTAGATATATACATACATAGGCATATAAAAAAATACCAATATTTGCTTGGATCCTGACGAAAATCAGCCCATGGAAATATTGGATTCTGTAAATAAGCTAATACATAAAATCCAGGTATAGCTGCCCAATATAATAAGGATATAAACATTAAAAATCTATTTTCTTTTTTCAACTAAAATAAAAAAAAAAAAAACTTAGAAGATTTAAATTTAAAATTAAATCAAAAAAAACATATCCTTACCGCAAGATATATTATCAAAATATTTAATGGAAATAATGCAACTATGCAAGTCAAAAAAATAGTTGTTGCAATTGGATAGTCATATTGCAAACTATTCCAATATTTATAACTTAGATAAGTATAATATATTGAAAATCCCCAAGCAAAAAACAAATCTAATTTTAAAACTAGAATAAACGAAGCATAAATCTTATGGATCGCTTCATTTTATCCCCCCAAAAAAAAAAGAAATTAATTAAATTATTAAATTGCTTTTCATAAATGAATTATATGTGATCGTCATACTTTGCATTTTCCAACTAGCCCCAGTTCTTTGGTAATTATACCATTCAAACTCTTTATATAGTCTATATCCAAATATTTTAAACAACGTTGCAGAGAATACTAATATTGATGATTGTATTATAGTAAATATCTTCGAGTTGGAATTAATTTCAATACTATTGAGATTATTATCATTATATTTGCTAACAGTGTCAAATATTTTGTCCAACCAAATATAATTCTCAACTAATGCGACTATTGAGTAAGCTGTTATCAAAAGATTTATTAATATAATTGCTATCAATTCAATATAGTCATAATTATAAATCTAAAATTAAAAAATTAAAAATTAAAAATTAAAAATTAAAATATTTTAAATTTCATTTGTTGTAAATAATATTTTCGATTTATTTACTTACAGCATCTATACAAAGACAAAGTAAAAATATCTGAAAACATGCAAGAAATCCATTCTCAATTACAATCCTTGTGCCTCGATCTTTTATACTTTCTAAAGGATCTAAATCAATACTTGTTGAATCAATATCAACAATATTACTGCTAATACTGCTACTATTATTATTGTTATTTATAATATAATCTATAATCTTGGTATCTTGATAATTTGACATCAATATAAAGTATTGTACAACACAAATTGATATTGCTTGTAGTATAGCACATGCTATAAATAACCCTGACCATTTATTACTTATTATATTTGACCACTAAAATTAAAAAATAAATTAAAAATAATCAATATTTTATTTACTTATTTTTATTGTTTAAATAATTTATTAATTATAACCTACTAGCTTTTTAAAAAAAACCCCCAATTTTTTCATTTTTAATATTTTTAATAATAATGATTAAAAAAAAATTTATATCCTTCGCAAGGATTTATATATTTTCATTTTTAAAATGTCATCAGGTTTTTTACTTGTTATTAAGATCTTTTTCACCTATTATAGAAATGTTATTGTTATACATAAACGTAATGATCCATACCATCCCAAATTTTATTTTACAAATAAATTATTATACAATAGTCATAATAATTAGGCTTAATTTTTTTTTTTATATACTTGCTATAACTTCTCTTTTTATATATCTCTAATTTATTGCTGAATCTTTTTTATAATAGATTGTCCAGGCTTTTGTGACAAAGATTGATATTTCTAAATTATATTTCACATTATGCTATTGTTGAAAATGCCCAGCTATTGCTCAACAATCGAGAAATCCATTGATATAGTATTATTGACGCTTATTTGTAAGAATCCATTGATATCGCGACATTCGTTTTTATCGCATGTGACAAAATCGATTGTTGATCTTTTTTATGTTGTAAAACATGTGATTTCAATTGAATTTAGAATAGAAAATAGGGCGTGACTGCGCACAAAAACTTGTTTAACCTGATACGTGTGTATTTTGCTTTCTATGTTCTCAGGTTCTCAGTATGTGTGTGAAAAGTGATCAAATGATTAAGTCGCTTTTGAAGGGTTACATAGTAATAGGAGCTATATTTCAAGCTTTAGTGATCAATGTAAGTATATTAATATTGTAGGCTCTAATGATGGCTCCTCAATTAATTACGGCATATAAAAATTGAATTGTGGCTAATTGCAGTTCCCATCTTTAGTAGGCTCAAAATCATGCATTTTTGTTGAATGTTTATTTAAAATTTTACTAATATTAAAGCATGTTGTAAATCTCATTTCTTCATTTAATATTAATACTTCATTAAGTAAACAAATTATCATTAACCATTATCTTTTTCTAGCCTATTATTATTACATAGGGATTTTACATGAGACATCACTCTTTTTATAAAGTTCCAAACATTTATGATAAGCATGACCATATACATATTAACATTATACCATAAATTTATTTTATTTTCAAATTGCGTAATGGTCTCCAAGCCAATAAAAATTTAATTATTGCGTGATATCTGGAAGGAGAATCATCACAAAATTTAGCCAATGAAATCAAATGCCCACTTATATCGGCCAAGTGAACCTTTTGACATTTTGTCTTATTTTTGTTCATGGTGGCTTCTTTTTTAATGTTTATTCAGTTCATGATATCAAAAGTTGTGTATGAGTTTTGATAAACTTTTTAAATATGCATCATGATTTAGTCAACATGATTAATTGCAGTAAAATATTATAAAATTTTGGGGTAAAAATTTGACTATGTTATTGTATCTGTATAAAGAAAATCCCCCAAAAATATATTAACTCGGGTTTAATCACATAATAACACGTACAATATCCCATTTAATTCCTAGTTATCCAATTAGCAATGTCGAAATCTTTGGAATTCCTTCTTCAAGCTCCCATATTCCACACGTTCCAATAGTTCTTCGTACATATTTAAAAAACGGATTTATGGTTAAAAGGCTAACTATTATTATTGTTACCATCAAAGAAAAAAAAATCAACATCAATACCTTATTTGATATTACTAATGGTAATAGGTAAATATTGTACATAGGCAACCCCGTTAAACCGAAGGCAATTGTGCATGAACTTTTCTTCGGATTAACGGGGGTTTTTTATAATTCGGATAAACGGGGTAATAAATTTAAAAATTTAGGATTTAGAATTTCCTTTATCCATTTTCTGGCAGTGAATTGATTTGGATTCAATGATAAAAAACAATCACACTTTTTTAGAATTTCAGAAACAGTAGATTCACTGACATTATATTTAGATGCAAGCTGATTATTTTTCATGTTTGGGTCTTTATTTTTTTCAATGCATATTTGCATTTTTTGCGAGATTGTTATAGGCGTATGTTTTCTTTTTGATACCACAACTTCTTTTTCAGTAGATTTTTTTTCCTCTTGTCTGCACTAGAGGAAAGTCTACTCTGGTTATTAATTTTTGTACAGGTTGTGCGTGAAAATGAAATTTATGCGAATTTGCAATTCACATATTCAAATTAATCAATCAGAATTTCATATCCAAATGTTCCATCCCAAAATTTTAATTATAGATTTCAATTTCACACATGTATTTGTATAAATTGTATATTATTATTATTGGTCCAATTTTTATTTCACTTCAGTTTATAAAAATTCGGATTAACGGGGCAATTTTACATATAAATGGCTTCAAAAAATTTAAAATTTTCTACGGTTTACGGTTTATAAAGTTTTATTGGTGACATTCATATTAACGGGGTAATTTACATATGTTTGACTTTGGTGTTTTAAAAATTATTCATTTTAACGGGGTTTTCGGATTAACGGGGTTCGGATTAACGGGTTGCCTATGTATATACATTGTATTAATGTTTATTTTAAACGATGTATGATTGTTATGTAATTAATTCTTATTGTATTAGTATTAATGTTTAGATCTACGGTTAAACGATAAATTGTTACGCGACCACCAAAAATATTCTATAATATTTTGTTTCCTTCAAAAATAGATCGAATTATTGCATATGGCTCGCATTCAATTTTGTCACACTTCAGAAATGTGACAATTTAATAATTTTATTATTGTCACTATAAACGCAAAAAGATTATAAAAACATATATACTATTATTTTTATTTATATCATATAAATAACTCTAAAAAATATATTATCCCGAGAAAAACTTCACTCTCCCTATCTATTACTATATAATAATATTAAGTAATGTCTCGCTATAACAAAATATATTTCGTTATAGAAAAAATGAACTGTGTTTTTATACCAAAGACATTATTTAATAAAAAAAATGAGCTTGGTGTGTGAATTAATATATATGTATTATAAATAATTATATAAAACATCTTAAAGTATTTTATTCCTTTTTTTAATAAAAATATTGTTTTTACCTATGTCGTTTTGGAAATCAAAGCTCAAAAAAGACTTTTAAAGCAATGTGAACAATAAATGTTTTCTCTACTTCAACGACAATTTGCTATATTTATGTTTATATACATAATTTAACTTTTCTTTAAAATAGAAGAAATAAATTATATGAGAATATTATTTACTGGCTGAAAATTATCCTCCATACGTATTAGTTCCTCGTACCTGTCATGAACCCCATTGACCTTCTGTTGAGGGGTTTTTGAGTCCTCACCCTTTATTCCTATTTGATATTATTATTACTGTGTGCTTTACATTAATAATATTTTGTATTAAAATCGATGATGATTCTTTAATGTTAACAATTTTTATAAACTATCAAAAGTCATATAGGAACTTTCTAAGTTTGTGAAAAATTTTAACTTCTGCTTTGACAAATCGGTCATCATGACCCAAAAATCTCCAAATCTAGGAACATATGATGGATCCTCCGCAAGCTTTTCCCTGTAAGCTTGCTTTGTTTGCGTAGCTCTTATTGGTTGATATTATCATGATTGAGGTTGTCATCGGTATTTTGGGGATCATTTTGAGTATTTGATTCTTGCTACAATAGTTATGCTTGATGTCCTCATTATTATTACCGTTGTAGTTATTATTATTCTCAATGGAATTGTTTGAATCAATTTTATCGTTTTCACAATCGCTTTGTGAATTTTCACTTTTCGAGTCTTCACTGCTACCTTTCATCAAAACCATAATAAGCATCTTCATCATCACTTAAATCAAATTCTTTTCAATGGTGGCCCTGTCTTCACTAATTTCATTCATCACATCTGGTAACTCGTGCCTTTGTAGATGTACATTTTTAATATTTATTTTATTTTTTTATGTACGCGCGCAGATCCTGCGCCGCAGAGATTTGGTTAGCGCAAACTATTAATAATTCTGGTTATGTTACAAGAAACAAATTTGTTAATGAGAGAAGGTTTACATAAAAAAGATAAACGTTATATAAAAGATGAATAAAATAAAATTAAAACTAAAATTAAAAATAACGAAAGAATTGATTGATTTTTCGAAAATTAAAGGTTTTTTGTAAATTACAAAATAATTAAAGTGAGTGTATAAAGAAGATAAAAGTTGATAATTTGTTTTATAAATAAATAATTCTACTATATATATATATATATATATATATATATCATCATAAATCATCATAATAAATATTTTGTGTCCAAATCTTCAGCAAAATTCATCACTAATATTTTCTTATCTTGACTAGTGCTAACAATTCTGGTTCTGTTGAATTGTACATCAAACACCCAACTGGTATGACCTTCATGAAAATCCAATAATTGTTTACCAGTTTTAAGATCCCATACTTTAACAGTTTGATCATAACTTCCACTGACTATCTTATTCTCATCAAAATGTAATGTTCTCACCAGATCAGTATGGCCCTTAAGTGTGCGTATGCACTGAGCAGTTTCCACATCCCATATTTTGATGGTTCTGTCATTTGATCCTGACACCACCCACCTACCATCAAACTGTACACATGCCAGTCCACGTGTATGACCAACAAAATCTCTTATACATTCACCAGTATTTAAATCCCATAATTTTATTAATGCATCACCTGAAGCTGATATGATTCTGCTATCTTTAAGTTGTACAGCATTCACAGGACCAAGATGGCCATATAATGTCCTCTTTAATTCCCCAGTAATAACATTCCATACTTTGATTGTGCTATCTTTTGAACATGATACAATATTTCTATCATCAAAACATATATCTAAAACACCAGCTGAATGTCCATTCAGTCTCATGATCTGTTTAATACTTTGAATATTATCAACATCTCTACTGTTAGGGTTATTGAAATTGGAACTACTACTGCTACTGCTAATACTACAATTACTACTACAAATACTACAATTTTTATTATTATTTAAAATTTTTTCAAGATTACTCAAATCCCAAATAATTATGGTAGCATCACTTGATCCAGTTACCATTATTTTATCATTATAATGTAAACACAATACTGAAAGGTCATGTCCATGTAATGTCTGGAAACAAATTCCAGTATTGATGTCCCAAAATTTGACAGTTTTATCTCTTGATCCAGTAACTATTTTTTGATCATCAAATTGAATACAATAGACACTATCTGCATGACCTTTCAAATACCTTTTTTCACATTCACCCCTTTTCCATTTTAATAATAGGGTATATTTAATTTTATATAATGACTTCCAATCAATCTCACCTGAGAAGAAAATTTTTTTTGGAATATTTACTTTCCATCCTTCATTTGATAAAAACTTTCTACGCCATATTTCATTGCCCCTTGATATATGACACCAGGTGCAAGATACAAGTGACATTCTACATAATGTTTGAAAATCAACATATAACAATATATATGATGCTATTTCATAAGGAAGTTTTGATAAGAAATCTAAACAAAAAAAATCATTATAATAATAAAACATTATCATTATAATTTTTACTGTTGAGATCATCATCATCAAACTAGATTTTTCAAAATTACATTGAAAATCATGTATGATGATCATACTTCAAAGCATAAAATTATTATTAACATTGATTTTTTTACCAATTTTTGGAGCCTTTTCATCTAATGTATAGAATCCTTCATCTACATCATCCAGAATATTATCCTTTTTATTATATGTGGTCATGGTGATACTATTATTATTTATGGTTGTGGTAATATTATTAATAGAAGTAATATTGGTTAATGATAGTTTTTTTGTAGCAGTGGTTGTGGTGATGGTAGTGCTCACAGCTTTAGATCTTGCTACAATATTGTTACAATTAATATTGAAATTGATAGATGATGATGACGAAGATATAGCAATAGATCGTCTACAATTATTACTATCACTACTACCATTATTATTTATTCCTCTGTTGTTTCTTTGATCTTCATTTGAATTCTTTGTGAATAACCTTAGGATCTTTTGTTTACTTCCAATAAGTGTTGATTTTGGACTTTTCATTATTTTCTTTAAAAAATTATTCACTTTAAAAATATGATTATGACGTTTATTAATATTAATGTTATGATTATGATTATGGTTTCTTTTTTTCTTTGCTTCAACTTTAGTTAATGTTTTACTATAAACAAATAAATTAACCTAAATATCAATGAAACATTTTTTTTGGGTATTTTTTTTTTTGTTTAAAATAACAATAATTTTTATTTTGTTTTTTTTTTTTGTCCTATTTTTTTTTGGTAAAAATCATTTAAAAATCAAAAAATTTTTTTAAAAGAAAAAACTAATCAATTGTTTTTTTTCTTACTAACCTTTTAAAATTCAAAGGGGAAAATTAGTTACAAAATGTGATTAACAGAATGATAATGATAAAAAAGAATGAGAGAGAGAAAAGAATAAAAAAAAAACTTGGAATTTTTATGGAGAATGACGAAAAAATTTTTTTGTTAAAATTTAAATAATTTATATACAAACTATATATAATAAATGTGACGATGATGATAAAATGGGTTTTTTGCCGTAATTACACTTATTATATATAGTCATCGCCTCCTTACTATAAAATTTTCCTTAATGAATGAGTGAATTAAAAAAGAGTGAATTTTATAAAAAAAAGATTGAACATTTGCCGTGTCACGGTCTCCTTCCAAAACCCGCAAGTCGTGCGACTTCGTGCAGGTTTTTTGCCGATTGTCTCTCTTTACGTCTAGCCAGTACCCCGCAAACTTCATAGATAGGTTACTGCCAAATTCATATATCGAACCTGGCTATACCGAACTCTGGATATAGCGAACAAAATCGCATGACCGAATTTTTATTATAATTAATAAATCTGTTTATAACGAATCCGAACTCACCTTTTTTTGAAGTTTCATATTTAATTTGCTCTTCCTATAACGAATTTTCACATGAACACATGTAATATCTGTATAACATAATGCAAAATTTCGTTTTTGATTAAACATTTTAGATATCAAAAAAAACATAACCTTTGCCACTCAGTTCAATCAAACTATTATATGGGGCATGCTGCAACAAAACCAGACAAAGTGAACATTGGTATTACCAAGGATTTCAGGGATCAAAATTTA